AAATATTAAATAATATAAATTGTAAATTCACATCTACATAATATAGTCATAAACATTATAATGGAAAATGTTAATATTAAAATTTTTTGTTAGAGCAAAAATGATCCAATTATTTCTTTTACAGAAGTCTGTCTACTGAATAACATCGCTAAAATTAGAAAACACGCCTACCTTTTCATCAAGACATTCTACCAGATCAGTGACGTACCCACGCAAATCTTGATAAAACTGAAAACAATCATCCAACTCTGGAACATTAATTTTTAACATTTCAACTCTATTCTTAATCTCTGGTATTTCGTTTATCATATCTTCAAAATATTTTTGATCCGGATTCCGATTTTCTTTCAACTCATTTAATCTAAAATTAAAGTACAGATAAGATATGAAACTATAAACTTGTTATAAAAGATTAATTACATTTCTTTGGTTTTATTTATGATATCATCTGGATTCATTGTAGACATCAATCCTTGTGGCGCATATGAATCAGAGAATCGAGGTTTTTGATTCATTAATATTGGCATCATAGCTTGTTCCTGTATAACCATATTATTGTAAAAAGCAGCCATGCCGGCAGATTCCTGTTGTGCAGCAGCTAACTGTGAGCCTGTTACTGCTTTTCTTATTTGTTGAGTTTCCCAATCATTATCTTCATCAAGTTCATCAGGATCTTCAAACTCAGTATTGTTAGTGTGATCTAAAATTAATTTACCATTTTAGATTATCTAAAATCTAAATTATACTTAAATAATATTAATTTAATTAAATATTTTTATTACCAGCCATCGTAATATGTAAGTTTTTTTTCCGATCCTCAGCTTGACTAACAATTCCAGACATAACAATAATACCATCATCATCACTATCTTCTAATTCATCTTCTTCTCGTGTTAAACGTCGATTAGTCGTTTGTTCATTATCTACTTTTGATTCACTAGAACATTTATTTATTTTTTAATTTATATAATTTATATTCATATTATTAGTACTTTATAAAAATACCCATGAGATTGTGATGATATTGGTATAAAATCTTCTCCCAAATCACGAGCTTGTTGTCTTCGTTTTCGAGCAGCATGAATTAACGCTGCATCAGGAATTTGTCCCTCTGGAAGTAAATTTATTATTTAACTCATTAAGAATAAAATATAATTTTTAATTAAATTTCTGTTTTTCTTAGTCTGATTATTCCTCTTTTTTAATGATTCCAATACAATCTACTTGTTAATTTATCTAAATAATATTACAAAGAAGTAATTTATAATTTTCATAGTAGTTTCTTTAAGCATAACAAAAAATTAAAAACAACCTGCAAAAAATATTTAAAAAATCTCAATAAATGTAGTTTTAAACGTTTATTTCAAATCCACAAAGAATTTTTTTTTTAAATTTAATACTTACATTGCTTTTATATTTAAAAAAATAAATACGCCATAAAACAAGTGACCAGGGTTTATGTTTAATCTTAATTACTTTTTTTTTTAACCTTAGATTTTGTAATATTTGTGCTTAAAAATTGTAATAACCCACAACTAAACAGTTTATAATTTTAGTTATTAATTCTTACTTTTTAATAATATTTTAACTTGATCAGGATTAGAAAATCGATGAGATGATGAGCTATATGAATCAGGTTCTTCATCTGATGATACATAGCCGGCCATTTCAGCAGCTCGGCCTGTAAGCATTATTTCTTTTTCAACAGGTTCAGACTAAACATATTAAATATTAAAATTCAAAAAAAAAATCATGAAACAGAATAATTTAACAATGAATTACATTAAAGTTTGTTTGTTTAACAACAATAGGTTTCATTGTATCAGCAATATTTTTTGATTTTTTGCCATTTTCTACTTTATCTCGACCCATTTTTTCTTTATTCATTTGTTTTTTAATTTTTTTACTATATGATGATTTTTTAACTTTGAATTCTTCGCCATCGTCACCTTAAGAAATACAATTATTACACAATAATCAATAATAATATTTAATAATTAATTAAAAATACTCACATTCATTCAACTCATCACCAAAACTTAAAGTGTTAACTTTCTTTGTTGTCTTTTCTTTTTGTGGTTTTGGTAGTTTCAGTACTGTATCCACATCCACTTTTTCTTCATTTTCATTTTCGTGAAAACCGTCTATGTCCCTAACACGAAGGTTCCGTTTAGGCTTCCTAAATTGCATTGCCATTTATAACAACGCTTTAATAAAATTAAAATAATTACGTTATAGGTAACAATTAACGGATTATAATCACATAGACAATAAAATAATTGATATTAGTTTACTATTATTCAGAAAATGCTAATAGGTACATGCATTGGAATTTGTATTATAGTATTATACTCAATTTATAGTGTTAATGTTAAGTATTATACAAATTACAAAATACAAATTACAGTTCAAGTGATTGTTGATAATATAATCAATATTAAGAATGACCAGTTCACAAAAAAAAAATTCCCTCAAAATATTTTAGAATTACATGCTAGCTCTTAGATTTGAAGTTAAAATTTTGAACAAAACGATGAATACATAAAACACAATAAATTTAATATCATTTATTTCATGACTATATTGGTTGTACCAATGATGTTTTTTTGTTGATCATCAAGTTACAAGGCAGTAAAAATGCTTCAATTTCCAATATTGTGGGTGGTTTTTGGAAGTTAATTTAATCTAATTGGTACTTTGGGAGGGAAAGAGGAAGTTTTAAGTAAAAATTCCCAGTGCTTTTTTTATCATGAAAAACAAAAATAAATAAACAAAATTAATTTTGTTTTTTTATGTGTAACTTGAGAACGAATATCTAACCATATTGTAAATATTCAACAAATATTTATATTATCATTTTCTATTATTTATGATATAGTTTTTTTTAAATATTTTGATTCCTTTTTAAGCTATCTAAGGGACAAGAGTATGGACATTTTCAATTTATTTATTATTTTTCTTTAGAATTTAAATTATAAATTAGTCAATGATTAGAAATGTTTGAGATTTTAATAAAAAGTTTTTCATTAATTGTTAATATTTTAATTAAAAATCTAGTTACAATAGTTTTTTTTTATAAGCGTTTAAAGCTAGAATTTTGAATTTTGATTTCGTCAAAATTTCAAGAATGCACAAATTATTTCGTAGTTAAAAATTCATAAAAAATTTTTTTTTCCTAATACCTATTTAAAAATTCAATGTAAATTTATGCGTAGGGTTTTAAAATATTCACTAAATGCTTATATTATCATTTTCTTTATAAAATTAAATTTTCAAAATTTTTTAACACTTGAAGCTATTTATAAGCATGACAAATTTTCAATTTTTTTTTTTCTTTAAATGTTGATAAAATTCCTTGGGTTACAATTTAATACGATATCCCTTAAAGATATTTATAAATAAAAATTCATAAAAACTTTTTCTTTTATACTTAAGTTTTGAATATATAATGTAAAAATTTTCAAAAGTAGTTTATACCTACCAAAGCTATAAAATCTAAATAATTATGAAATATTCTACAAAGATTCTAAGAACATTTTACTCCTATCTGGGAAATTAATTATTTTTTCATAACCTAATATTAAATTATTTTTCGTGAAAATTTAAAACTTACGTATTTCATTAAGAATTTTACTATATGAAAATATGCAACAACATTTTTGATTTATCTTAAGATGTCATTTATTTTTACTATAAATTTCATAGAGTATAATAGTATAAATCTATTTTTACTATTGTAAGGTACCTACTAATAGAAAAATGTTATTTATTAGTTATTAGATTTTGATTTACATAAGTTGATATAATATAATAAAAAATTATTATCATACTAAATAAGTATGAAATAATAATATAATAAATGCAATATTTTCAATAAACATTAAATTAACCTAGCGTACCTAATATTAAAAATAAATAAATAAATTTAATAACTAATTCACAAAATATCTTTAAAGATAAAGGCTAACAGACAGTCGTGTTCGTTTAGAACAACCTAATACATAATATTATAAAGTTAATGATTCAGAATCATTTTTCGTATAAGTACCTACAGTGATAAAATAAAAATAATGGATTCAAATTTAGCACGTCCATAAAAATGAATCAGTCGACACGTTTCATTGTTTTAATGAACACCTGAGCAGTACTTACTTGTCTAGCTTTTTTTTTATATAGTACCTATTTTATCACCATTTTGAGTGATAAAAATTCTTCAACCATTAACTTTGTTCATCGTTCATGGCTTGTGATACCTACCACTGATACTCGTGGCAGCAAATTATATTTAGTTAGTACTTTATAAAAAAATTTGGAAATCATAAAAAATGGGAATAATTACGAGTTTAAGAAAATATTATCACACGAAAGAGTATAATTTTATAATTGTAAGGTTTGAAACACGTGTGTGTGTGTGTGTGTGTATGGATTCGTCACTAAGAACTCGGATGGTCAATTATCTGAAAGCTAGCGACGCCGACCGATGTTTGATTTCGGAACATTAGTGACTGAAGCCAATCACCGCACCACAGTCCAGGCCATTAATTTTAATTAATTAATAATTATTATTACCTACAAACCTAATAAATTATCAGTATTATAAACGACTAGGTTGTATAATTAAAACTTTACATGTATATTTACTTACATGTATAAACACTATAAACATAGGTACATGAGAAGAATAAACTAGAGCGTGCACAATATATGTATACTAAATAATATATTCTAATAATAAATGATTAAATATATATATATATATATATAAATCTAATATATATTTACTCTATTTTTACATTACTACATGGGATTATTATAATGAACCTTGCTAATTTTTAGTCCATTCAAACTTTATTTGCCTTAAGTACAGTCACTATAACCCTAGTTCAATATTTGGCAATATTATAATTTTCATTAATATTTTTTACATAAAAATGTTTAATGATTAAAACATAGGTAAAATATATTTTGTTAAAAACAATAATGGAACACTACCATCCCAGTAAAACATTTTTAATAATGTATATTTTTTACAACGCATCAAGACATTATGTACATGTACACTTTAGTTTATTTAACCTATAGATCTGATGCTATTTGTATTTGTTGTGGGTCCTTCTCGTATGGTTTTCCGCCTAAGACATACTCGAAATGCAAATCCCACTGCCTTGCACAGTCGATCACTCTATTTAAAATTTGAATTATTAATGTTATAGGTCATACTATTAATTTATAGTTTATACTAGTATAATAGTAGAGAAAATACATACTGAAACTTCTGTAACAACAATCAAATGACACAACCATTGATTATTGTAAAAGTCTCTGCTAGTATAGAATAACTGGTCCGAATAGTCTGTGGCCGATGAACAAAATATTACATTTTCAATAATTTGAGCCAGAATTAAATTCTAAAAAACATATATCTTCTTGTTTAAAATATGATCATTAATCGCATAAAAAATGTTGAATATTTCAATAATTAGATTTAGAGTATATAATAGTGCTCTTATTTAAGTAAGAATTCTATAGTTGAACTTTGTTTACATAATAAATACTAATGATATAATCTTATATTCACTATATTGGTTAAACTAATAATTAACTATTTATTTATTACTTAAATGTATCTCTTGCTAATAAGTAATAACTGTAGGTATAGATGAGTCTATTTCAGTAGAGCAACTGACAAAAATTAATCCTAAGCCACTAAAGAATGTTGAGTTTGACAAGTAAAAACATTCTATTCATCTATTAGTAATTAGTATTCAATAAAATTTTCAATAAAACCACATTTTTAAATTTTAGCTGTTATAATTTAAAGAAAAATTATACCAGATTATTATTAATTAATATCTAACTTAAATTATTTATTCATTAGGATTTAGGTAGTAGGTACTCATTCCACATTAATTTTATTTTACATATTATGTAGTTAACTTTATGATTAAAAAAACAAAACATTTAAAACAATGACAGGGGAGTATGCTTTTGCAAAAAAATTAAATAAATATTTGATTATTTAAGGTAAGCTATACTTTAAAAAAATCAAACCTCCCATGAAATTCAACTAAATTTCCACCTATGCTTATAAATTATAATAGTTCAACTTATAAGTTTATATACATACTATTATATCTATTATTGTTTTTGTTTTTAACATAGATATAATTAAAATCCAAAAACATTATAGAAGTTTATAACCTTTGATCTTTTGTCAACAATTCTTAATTCATATCCTGTAATCCATAAAATTGCAGGACTTGGGTGACAAATTCCAGTTTTATATTCCTGATACAGTTTAGCGAATGACTCACAACATTTGTTTGAATTTGTGGGTTCCAATACTTCAACATACCCCAAATACTAAAAAGTAACAGGTAAAAATGTGTTATCTTTGATTTTTTTTTATATTTTCATTATTTTACACTTAATAAATACAAAACAATACCTAATTATTAGTAGGTATTTAATGAAGTAATTATTACTTACATCAATGTTAAAAGAACAATTTCCATCCAGTATACTAATTTCGTCTTGTGGCCATCGATTAATTATACCATTTACAACACGCTCACAATTTCTTCTACTACAATTAATCATTTTGCAGTTTGCACAATATACTGTTGACTACATGTCAAAAGTGGCGGTTACACAAACAAAAGATATTGAGTTAAATTAAAAATATTGATTATTTTTATTAATTTTAGTAATTCATTTAAGGCATATTATAAGACATAAATGGTTGGACTTAGAGGATGTAGGTAGAATTATACAAAAAAATTTTAAAGATCTAAAATATCACATTCAATACCTTCTTCCAACAGCAGGTACTATAATGACCTGTGGTCGTGGTGGTACCTATAAGCCAAATAATGTAACGTATGACTAGGTAGGTATGGGGGGGGGATATGACGATGATTGGAAATCCCAGTAATTCCGAATTCGTATAATTTAAAATTTTAATATTAAATTCAATAGATAATTAAAAACCTCTTCTGGCTTTGATGCATAGTTAAATGGTTTTTACTTTTTAAGTATGCATGTAACATGGGTCGAGGTTGTATATAGTGTATACGATCGTACAATTTATTTGACATTTTAGAAACCGTACCTAAGGTTATTATTTATAAATTATAAGTAATATAATTTTCGAAATTCTATTGAACGGTTCGCTGGCCCACTGGACATCACGCGGTCTACCTATATTATTATAGTGACTAATAGGTCCTATATAGTGAACAGTGATTCTACACATTATTATTTATATTATAATAATATGAATATCATATAAATACCTACGCATGGCCAGATGTGTATATTGACATTGGAATAATAAAAAACAGTTACAAGTTGTTTTATTTACTTTTTTATAGTTTTGTAGCTTCGTCAATTACAGCAGTCGACGTGTAGCATCAGGTACTGTGGTGTAACGTTGTCCACTTGAGTGTATTGGCGAAATAAAATAAAAAGTAAGTTTAAATGGCTTTAAATGATAAAATATGGATGGCGAATGGCGATCAACGAACGTATTCGGAAATAAGGCGAGGAATGAAGATTCGTTGATGTTTGAACGAATGAAATAGTCAAACGGAGTGGTAGACTGACGTTGACGTCGTTGACCGAGATCGTGAAAAAATAGAAGATCAGTTTTAGATTTCAAAGAGAAATCACGCGTAACCGGTTTTCTCCTACTCGAGTAATATACTAATGCGATACCATCGTAAATCGTCTAGGTGTAGGCAATATAGCTGTTTAAGTCTTGGTCTAAGACTCAAGTATGATTTTAACTTGGTCAGCATTTTCATAAAGAAATAAAAATGTCGTTTTATGTTTGTTTATTATATTATAATTTAGTATCTATTACCAAATAATATAGACTGTGGTCTGTGACAACACTGACAACTGTAATGATGTAAAGTGTGGCGCACCACTTGCTGTAGCTCAGTCTACAACGAACACAAAACCACTAAATCACCATAAAAAGTATAGTTTGATTAACACAGAATATATATTATCTATAAATAAATTGAAAATGACATTGTGTATAGTTAAATTCTTTATAATATACGTAAAAGTTAAAAATCCCAACGAATGTTTTTAAATTATAAGAAAATAATTGACTTAGTTATTTATCGTTTAAATAAGTACAAAACTATCTACTATTTGGAAGTTATATAAGTATGGAATTAAATTAAACGTTGATTCAGGGCAATACCAAAATTGTATGAACCGATTAAATCTAATCTAGATCAATTCTATTAGCAGGTATTAAAAAATAACTAGAAAAAAAAATTAGTAGACTAATGAATTAAATAAAAATATTCTTACTTGACACAAATAATCACTTTTACTACCACGAATAAATTGATAGAGACAGCACGTTGAATAATTTTAATTCTAACTATGAACTATGAAGACATGAAGTATTTATGAATTAAAATACAAAGCACTCATTGTGTGCTGACAATCTCGATACAAGGACAAGTAATTCTACACATTTTTAAATTTTTTATTATACTTAAATAAGAATTTTCTTAGCTTGTGATTGATTACTGATCATTAAATAGATTAGACAATTGTGATGGATATTATTATGTAAGACATTTACTTACATTATTAAAAAAACCATGAATTAAATGGGTAAAAAAATAATATAATATTTTAAGTCCGAGGCAAAATTATTGGTGATAACTGATAAATAATAATTAAATACCTTTCATACGCTTGATATAAAAACAATCAATATTTTTTTTATTTATATATAATACGACAACAATAATTAAGTACAGAGGTTCTTAAGTATCTAAGATATTGTCTAAGTTTTCTAATAATATGTTTATACTACAAAATATAAACAAAAAGATAAGGGTTTTACAAACATATTTCAATTTGTTTTAACTTTTAAGTACAATAGAAAGTAATAGGTACATTAATTCTAATTTGGTCATAACGAAGCCATTAGCATATTATTCAGTGCCCTATGAAGATTTACTAATTTGAAATGGTCGGATAATAGAATTTGTATTAATCCAAATACTTACAACTAGTAAATCTATATAGGACACCTTGTATACATATAATATGATATATTATAATATATACATAGGTAATAATAAAATAATAACATAATATTGTTATACTTTTTAGAGGCTACTAAAATCACAATAATTGTATAAAATCCATATGTCTTACATATTTATCATTAGTCGTTTTCATAAAATTATGGTTGAAAAACGAGAATTATTTTTAATTGCACTAAGCCATTTAAAAACAATACTGTAATTTCAATACTTAATATATGTCTAAGCTCTTTCGTACATATTACTATTTTCTGACAAAAACATAAACAACATATTACATCTATATACAATTGTATAAGTATATATAACATAATAATGTTCACTGATATATATATATATATATTTAAATAGTTAATGATATACATATATCCCATAATACAAACACCAATCCTTCCCAATTGGATATTCTAAATAATAACAACAATAAATGAATCGTATACCAATAACATATTAAGGTGGTGCATGATAATTGATTAGAGTATGTACTAATTAATAGTTAATAGGTACGACAAATTTTTTTTAAAAATTGAGTTTTAACTAAATGTTAGCTATTTTATAATTTTTTTATTTTTACAAGTATAGTTTCTCTCAGGCATAACAAATAACCAGTTAGATCAATTATAATGTCTAATGATTAATACTATGTGTTATAATATTTGTTTATAATAAACTATACATAATAATAATTGTTTTTAAAAATAATTTTTAATTTTAAGAAAATATAATACAAATTAAAATACTAACAAGTAATACACATATACATATATATATATATCAATAATGTAAAGTATAATTATATTCATCAATATTGATACTACTGTTATTATATCTTTAAAATTATAATATATAGGTAAGTTAGTATTTTTTACATTAGTATTTAATTCCCGTATTTTCTATGGGAGTAATACAGTTAATATTATAATATAATGTTACCACAGATACTTGCGTATAGTATATACAATATTAATAATAATATAATAATATAATAATAATAAAAATAATAATAATAATAATAATGATAATAATAGTAATAATAAACATTGTCGTGTATCAATAGAAAAAAAAATATGCAGTCTATTGAATACACAGATATCACAGAACACGCAATCTCTATTCAGTACGCGGCTATAAGCGTCTTTTTTTTTTAAATCATAATATAATTTTAAGTTGTCTTATAACTGTGAGTGTTTGACTTGTTAAACTGAAAGCGAAAGTAAAGAAGTAACATATATATATATAATATATAAAAATGAGGGAGGTAAATGACTTAACTATTATTACTTAGATAACTGTAAGGATGACAGTAATACAGTCTTGTGCCAATAAAGAAATAAAATGAATGCAAGGTGTATAATTTTCAATCTAACAGGTATATAGAAGAATACATAAATCAACATTTTGATCTTTGAAAAATATACGTTATGTACATTTAAGCTTATGGTTAATGATAATTGTTAAATAATACTTAGATTAAAAAAAAAATTGTCAAATACTTAGGACTCATTTCAGAATTTATACTGTTTGTTTACTAATTGAGAGTTTGTTTGTACATAATTAGAAGTTCATTCAATAAAATTTTATAATTTTAATACCTATTTGGTTTTATATTGTGAAAATATAAATAAATATTTTTTATTGATGGTTTTAAAAAATCGAAATATGTGTAATTTTTTTATAACTAAAAGTAAATATAAGTCATATATTTAGTTTAAATTATTTAATATAACTATTTGATTCAATTAGTTGTTATTAAATAATAACATTATATAGTAGCAAACTGTTCTCCATTAGCTATATGTGTGCGATAAGTTCAAATTCGTTAGTAGGTACCCTTAACTGTTGATATTTATATCAACATAAAATATAATATACTAATTTTTTAACGTTAGAAAAATATTGATATGTATAGATTGCAAATGAACATATAAACATTATTTAATAATTTAATTTAAATTCACTGTGCATGAATATTAAGTTTATGTTTTATGTTTAATTACAAAAAAAAAAAAAAAAATATATATATAAAAAAAAATATTAATAATAGCTTATGCAATTATAGTTTCATCATATTTTTTGATAACTATGATAACTATATAACTCATTATTAAATAAATTTTATTTAAGTACAATTTCAAACTAAAAATTATGTTGAGTTAATACTTTTTTTTGCAGATTTTTATAAAGATACTATTTAAACATAAAATACAAACTATTATTATAAATGCACTTGATAATACTTAGGTTATTAAAAAAATGAAGGTAATTAGTACTGGAAACAAACTATTTTGTTTGATCAAGTCAAATTTTGATTTTTTTTTTTTCAAAGATAGTATATAGTATACTAAATCAAAAAGTATCAATACAAAGTTTTGTTAATATTAATTTTGAACACTAATTGCACAATCATAAATCCAAACATATATAATATTATGGTAATCGCATATTCCCTTTCTATAATTATGTTTTTACTTTTTTTATTCAATGATGATAATTTTAAGAATTAATCACATTTGAACTTCAAAAGTTTTCACAGTTTTATTTTGGTTACTTGATATTGGGCTACTTAAAAACGGATTTGTGTTTTGTTTAGGGGCTATATAATTAGGATCAAACGGATTGGCTGAAATATTATTAAATGTGCGATAAGCATCCTCAGCTGTGTCTAAAGAAAACGCACGACTGTGTGTTGCTAAATGTGGATTTCTTTTAGGCGTGACCTGAGAATCCATTGACTGTAACGTAACTGCTGCCACTTGACCTAACCACTGTTCTGGCCTGGGTAGTGTTGAGGGTGGAGTAGCAGGTGGAGTTGGTGGTGTTACTGCTTTGTTGTTAACATTCCATAAACTGGAACCTGAATCAAAACCTTCGTCTTGTGGACTAATACGACACTCTGGTTTTGGAGTGGAGGGGTTGCTTTGGGTTTCTGATGATAATGTGGCTTTTTTTGATATACTAGCAAGAAATGCTTCACTTCCAGTAATTGGCCCTTGTTTTGAATTGTTTTCTAAAATACATACACATAATAAATTATATATTATAAATTTTTAAGAGACCATGCTATTCAGTTTGGTCTCCTGCACAAAATTATAGCAAAAATGAGTTATTAATTATTTTTGGGAAATGACTTTTAGAACTATATTACTTATAACGTTTTCAAAGGCATTTCTTAAAGATTTTTTGCAAAATACTAAGTATTTAAACACATTACAGTAACATACAAAATTTAGATTTAAATATATGTATGAGTTCAAAAAAAAAAGAAAAAAAGAAAAGACTATGATGATAACAGAAAAATTACTTTTTCAATTACAGAATTATAGGTGTCCAGCATTAAAAATTCATCTAATCATTTATGTAAATATATTTTTTATTTTGTTATACATCATGTGAGAAACAAAGATAACAAACTTTGATATGGTGTATTAATTTTATAAGTTATATTAATATAATACGTATGTATAAAGATTAAAAATTAGTTTACCTATACTTTTTAAATCATTTGATTTAAATTTCTCAGGAAAATCGTCATTGGTTGTACTATTTGTAAGAAATGCCAATTCTAATGACATTTGTTGACACATAGCTGTTACTTGATCTGTTGTAGACATTGGTTTTTCACTTCGAGGAGAAGCTTCAAGTATAGGACTCACTGAAATAAATAAAAATATTGTTATATATTATTCTGCTATTCATATTTCTGACTTTAACTCTGTACCTGGAGTATTCATTTGTAAAAGTTTATTAGAAGATGTACGAGTATTTGCTGTTGGTTGTAGACTCATCGATCTTGTTCTCTCCAAATTAGAAGGTAATTCAGATATTCTAAGGGACAATTGTCTTTTAAATGGAGATGCTTGATTCAGTTGTGTAAATCCGCGAAATGATCCTTGTCGCTGTAACATCGACAATGTAGCATGTGGTCTTTCGATTGCATTGGTGCTGACTTTTGGTGTTGTAGGATTTTGTTGCAATGGTTTTACTGTTGTTGGTATATCTAGAATAAATATAAATTATTACGATCTTATTTTTACACTGATAATAATATTTACTAAACTTGTTTTTAAATTAAATTTTGCTAATTGATAAATACCTAAAAATAATTTTATGCATTAAGTTACGAAATAACATACATACCTTTATTTGACTGAAGAAAAGGAGGAGGTTGTGGGGGTGCATTGAGCGGAATATTAGGTTCAGACTGTTGTTCAGTTAATGATTGAGTTCTAAAACTGCCAGTTCTTGTAAAAACAGATGTTTTTGGATCATAGTTCATTGTAACAGAACAATCTTCTTCTCGTTTATTTTTTCTTATCAGGCATTCTTGAAAAGCACATCCAACAGCATGACTTAATCGGTCGCCCTATTAAAATTTCATAATTATTTTAATTGTACAAACAAAATCCCTTTATTTTTACATTTACCGATTCTTTTAGAGCTACAAAACCGTGACACATCCATCGACGAGTCAGTCCGTCTCTGCATATGTAAGAAAATCCTTTTTCATGACTTCGATCTGGGGCACAGAACGAAACTTTTTCAATTGTTTGATCAACTATCAAACCCTGAAAGTTAACAATTTGTAAGTATAACAACAATTTTATAAAATTTCAATAATAATGTACTTTAGTTTCTTCTTCTACAACACGCAATCCATCTCCTGATATGTAAAATATAGCTCTTACTGGTCTACGGCGTGACGCCTATATATATATATTAAAAAAAAATTAAAAATCTTTGTTTTAAGTTAATAAATAGGTCAAGACATTACTCTAAGTGTTTTTAAAGCTTCTTCGCATACTTCCATTCCTCTCGATTCAAAGACTTCGACACAGCCCAGATACTGTAAATACAAAAATATATTACTTAAACAATTACTAAGTGTTTTCAAACTATAATTGCTATTTAAATTATTAACTAATATAAAAACGATTTGAAACAATTTTATTTAATTAAGGTTTTTAATTAATTTCTTTTAAATTTATTCAGTATTGATAATTGCAAGGTATCTAAATATGTGTAAGTAAATACTGTACATTGTAATTACATTATAATAATCATTAATCCTACCTCCACAAGGAAGTTTATTCCACACTCGTCTCCAGAACACATTATTTTCTCCTACAGATAATCCAAATTTAATTTCTCTAACTCCGTAATTTATAATTAGCTCTATAAGTTTGATCTATTATTTTATTATCTATATTAAATTATATGTATCAAGTTTATTATTCTAATATTTATGCTATTTACATCTATATAATATTCAAGACAAAAAAATTAAAATTTGATAGCTTTGACGATAGCAATTCTTTTTAGTCTAAATCGTAAACAATTTAAATTGCAGTTTACCTTAACATGGAAGGAACATATCCCAGCCCGAACTTCAGCCTCGTCCATGGCCCACAAATGGGGCTTAGGATTAGAATGATGGCCCGGCGATCCAGCGTTATTGCCTAGATCTTTACGGCGTCTGAAACTGTCTCGAAAACTCCGCCGTAATCGGTCCATTTTTGACGGCGATCGACCACTCTAAAAAAATTAAAAAGAAAAAGTTAGTTAGATTATTATTTATTGGTACATTTCACTTTTTTCATAATGAAGTTGGTTACTATATACATATAGTTATCAAATACACAAGGACAATTCTTGATGGCGATCTATTTTATTGTGTTATTAATTATAACATTTTTTTATCTTAATCAATATTACTGTTAACAAAGGAGTTGAATAATCGAATGAACAACACATGTATTTTATATGGTCGAGTAATAAAATAATTAATAACATAAAATCGCCTCCATGGTTTTCAAGCGGCTGGATTAATATTTATGACACTTGTTTAACACAACATAATTATACATTATACAAGGAGGGCAATGTTTTGTAGGAAAATAATTAGTCGAAACATAGATATTTGAAAAATATTTTTCTGAATTGTATTTCCTTGAACTGTATTGATTTGGAATTATATTTTGTTGGTAAAATATTTATTCTAAAATTAATTAGTTTGGAAATAAACCATTACAAATACTGTTTTATAATCATATTTAATTGAAACATATTTTGGCGGAATAATTAGTATTAGCTCCAAAACATATTTGTTTGAAACCGCATAACGTTACCTAATAATTTACTTAAATTTTCAAAATTCCAACAAAATATTGTTTCGTATACTATAGTTTCAATATTATACATGTTCCCGTAACAGAATATTTTCCATAAAATTACGTTTTCGATATAATATATTTCAAACGGATTATAATTCCAAAGTAATGTGATTTAGTACAAATACAATACCAACATGTGTTACCAATGAAATATTTTTCAAAAAAAAAAAAATGGTTTTGAACAAATAATTTTTCTACTTTTTATAGACGTCACATTTTATGTTTTATTGTTATTGTAATCACTCTCCAACGATGATGTATAAATGAATTGTGGCAAAAACACTATTTATTTATACATTTATTAAGTGTTGATTAAAATGTAAAAGGATTATATCCATTAATAAAAATGCATTAGTTGTATACAATATACATTTATTGAAGGTGTCAACACTTAAGAATTAATAATTAAGATGACGTAATATTGATGATTGAAATAAAAAAATTGACTACACGGAGAAAATAACTAGTTGGTAAAATTAATTATAGGTACACCATGATTAATTTGATTCAGTTTTATTTTAATTAAGTTTAAACGATTTTAAATAATTATTATAATACTATATCGACTTATAAATGTTATGTAGTAACAAATTCAATGACTCGATATTGTACATTTAATAAAATTCATGAATTTATAACTATAGATACTTAAAATCTTTAATTATTAAACCTTAAAAATTTTAATTATCGGTTAATCATTTGCTATCATTTGCCCAGTATTGGCTGTATAGTATAATATATGTATATATATATATATATATATATATATATATTGATAAACAATACTTAAAGCATCTTATTCTTGAGATCAAACTTTTAATGATACTAACGCAATGATACGAGTAACAAGCTGATAAATAAAAATATAAGCATAAAACCTTTACATCACGCACGAGAGTAAATATTATTAATGTATACATAGAAATGTTTGCACTTCGAAACTTTTTTTTTAGTTAAAACGATTAAAATACGAATTTAAGCAAAAATTTAAACCGTGAATATCTAAATACACAAATGTCACCACTCGCCTTACGTTTTTGCTTTGATAGTCTATATTTAAAACCACACGCGAATCTGCTGCAGCTGTGAAGCATATTATATCATACGAAAAATTCATTGGTGTACCAACAGACTATATAGCACACAATCGTCGTTTTAATGGTAATATTTTTTTCAATTATTACCAAACTATACTATATTGCTATTTGTTGTTATATATCTAATAATCTAGGAATGAATAAAAAACACCGTATTATTTTTATTTAACTACTATAGTATTATCATTGCTCATTGCTGTCCCAAATGGCAAAATTATTATCATAATTTATAAGAAGCAAACTATAAAATGTGACATTAATCGTATAAAACCAAAGCTCTACCATACGAATTGGGAAGATATTTTTTATGATGTTGATTGTGGATATAATCTTGTATTACATTTTTCATAAATCTATAAAGCACTTCGTATGTTACCAATAAATTAATTTTGATGATATATACTGTATATAAATTGCTCGATGCTCGAAAAAAAGAAGATAAGTGTTGTTCACCGTGATTTTGTAATGCTATAGGTGAGGGCTCATGACGTAATCATCTTTAGACAACGACTCAAGAATATACCCTTTACATCTATGTATTATAAATTATAATTCTACACCACGCATTATACACAGTGTCAAGTGCATATTGGCATAATGATATCACAAATTAACGAATATACTACCAGTCAAAATATTGTTATTCGATGATTAAATTAATGTTACTGTTCTTTTTTATCACTAATCGTGCCTCCACTGCTCAAGGAACGGTTCACAAAACGTCTTTAGATCTGGATTATTACGGAACAAGAGCATTTTTCATAATTATGCTATAATATTATATTAATAAATATTAAATATAAAACGCCAACTCCTAAGTCGTTATTCGTGATTTTTTATTTTAATCTATCACGAAACGATAAAATTACGTTTTCGTCCGAATAATGCATATAATAATATGTATTATAAGTTAAAACGAATGTCATGACAGCATAATAGATAAATACAAGGATAAATACGTATCATTCATCGGCTTGAATATGATTATGTTCTTGAAAGCGCAATTAAATCATTAAATGTTTATCAACACTTGAGTGTTGAGAAGCTTAATTGCACAATAATATTAATATACTTGATACATGTATACCTTTAGTTTAAAGGCGATAATAATTGATTACATGTAAACATATAAAACAAAGCAGACAACAGGATCCAAAATTACAATCAAGTAAAAGAAATAGTTAATTTAAAATGTGCATATATCATATTATATTATACACGAGTACGTTGTAGCATTTAATGTTTGTCGACAAGACGGGTTTGAGTTCTAAGTTAATATTAATAATAAAATTATAGCTATAACCGATAAATAAATGTTATCTTGACAGAATTTTATAATAAACAATATAAAAACAAAAATAATGAGCTTGCACCCGCGATAACAACCTGTGGACAATCGGCATTGTTCGTTCAAAAACTAAGAGTAAAAAAATTATCCTACGTTAATAATATGTGTAATTGTACGTCCTAAAAAAGATAGTTCAAGGTGAATAAGAATAAAGGAATAAAAATCGCATTACCACCACTGCTACAGTAATGTGCATATATTTAAAATTATAGACATGCATGATGCATCATAGACCAATAAAATGTTTAACTTGGTACAATTTAAATCCTTATTCGTAATAATAAGGGCTCAAAAGTTGTAGGAATTGCATATTGTTCTGTATGCTCTCAATTTAAAGCAGACCAAGTTAGAAATCTAAACTGTACAATGGAGAAATTAAAAATTGAAAATTGAAAATGCATATTTTATTAATTTTAGCTAAAAAAAAAGTGCATATTTCATTGATTTTATACACATATTATGCATATTTCATATTTTTCTAAAAAATTTGATTTTTTTTCTTTCTCAACCTGTAGATATATTTTATTTAATATTGAATATAAAACTCAAAATTTTCAATGAAGGTATTTACCGTAATTTCAAAAATACTGGAAAAATATTTTTAGCTCGATATTTCAAAATGTCAATCAGTTATTAACAGTTTTTATGTGTATTATTATTTTATTAATTTATTAATATCCGATGTATTTTTTTTTTTTTTGGAATTCAGAAAATTTTTTTTTGCCTATTTAACATCATTTTAATACATATTTTGCAAATTTTTTCGTACATACTTTGCCTTTTATAGCTCCTAAAAATTTTGAGCTCAAGTTAAAATAATTAATGATTAATAATTCTTACAGAGAATAATATATATATTTATATAGTTTTTTCAAATATATTACATCAGAGTAAGTCTTCCATATTTATAAGACAGTTGGACTTGATTTTTCGTCAAATAGAATAAAAAAGTTCAAGTCACCCACTTAACGCGTTTAAGAATAATAGAAGCACATAGGTTTTCGAAGGATTTGATCCAGGCAATTTTAAATTTAAATTTCGGTTATATAATACTTATTTAAAATAACTCACAAGTGCTCTTATTTTAATACTTGTTGGTTTTTGCGAATTCCAAGATTAAACAGAAAAAACGGTTCCGTGAAAAAAAAACCACTCATATTATTTATACACAATCATAGTTAGCATACCAAATGTATAGATAATAAAACAGACAATATTTGCTGTGTCGTAGCGTTTATATTTTATTGATACCAATAATATAAAAATAGAATATTTTAAGGTAAAGTTGGGGATGATCTATTCAAGTGACGAGCAACATTTCGCAAAGACTGAAATTATCTACCCGACTCTCGCAAGACCCAAAACTACTATATGTTTTCACACCTCTGCCACGTCCAAAACTACTGTTGTCAGTATTACGGCTATCCATAATAATAAACTGTTCTTGCCATCTCGATACCTAGATTTTCCCGCAACTGTTTCATATAAAGTAGCAAGGGACTAAGGAGTGATATATCTTACCAGTTATTTTGATTCATTAAACGTTCATGTTTAGTAATATTATTTGGACAGTAACTTTTCTTACCGCTGCGCAACGAAATTTACATAATTATATTTATTTTTTTTATACTGATAAAATAAATTTAAATGCTACAGCTACGTCACGGCAAATGTATTTTCTTTCGTATTGTGCACGCAATTTGTTTCTTAACATCTCAACTACGCATGAATGTAGTCCGAGTGGTCTTCTACGGGTCAAACTGATTTTACAAATAATTTAAAAGCGTGTGGTATATTCTTCAACAGAAGAAATAGTCCCTTTTTCTATTTACTGATAAAAATAAAAGAGCGGATCAAACAATACACCGAATCGTTATTAGTCGATTCAATTGCAGGGACAGCGTAACTGGAGCGTGT